GGGCTGGACCCTACACTGCCTGCCCTGACCTCCTAAAATGCTGGGATTACAGACATGAGCCATCGTACCTGGCCTATAAAGATACTTTTGTATCTACTCAGTAATCAAAAAAGATGATTTTAAAAGACATAAAATATTTAACTAACAGATCAATGTGCAGGTCTCTATGGAAGTGAAAACAGAAAGCACAGCCCTTTCTTGTTGCAGAGATGAAAGGAAAAACACATAAAAAGCTAAGCAATCATGAACAATGTTTCCAAAAATTGATAGGAGAGATATCTTAAGGCAGCACATGATTAACTCATATAGATGAAAGAACCAATAGTAGATTTATTCAGAGAAGAGTGAGATCACAATAGGTTGAATTATTCCATCAGGTTTTTTTCTTCATATTTTTCATAAATTCAAACATAATAAAAAATCTGACCAGAGGTTCATAATGCACATTTCTAGGAAGAAGACACAAAATATTCCCTTTCAGTTTCTAGACTGAAGCTGTAGAGGTTGAGGCTGGCCTTACCATGATCGTGGCTGTGGCGGTGGCATATTTTCCACCTCCCCAACACTCTCCAATATTGGGACATCGAGCTTCCTCACATACCTGTGTGCAAAAGGAAATGGAACACCATTAGGTTGACAAAATCCACCCACTGAACAATTGGTGACCTTGATTAGACATTTCAAACTGCTCATAGTTTACAACATATTTTTGAAGACATCCGCTATTTAAAAATCCTGTTACAAACAACTGCGCTGGCTCATGCCTGTAATTCCAGCACTTTGGGAAGCTGAGGCGGGAGGATTGCTTGAGCCCAGGAGTTTGGAACCAGTTTGGGCAACATAGTCAAATCCTGTCTCTACAAAAAAACAAAAAGCCAGGAGTGGCGGTGTGCACCTATACTCCCAGGTATTCAGAAGACTAAGGCGGGAGGATCACTTGAGCCTGGGAGGTTGTTGAAAAAGGTTGTTTAACTGCCAAACTCTATATTAAGATTAGAGCATGGTGAACATGTCCTATAAAGGTATATACTCCCTTATACAATTAGTTACATAAGAATGGAGAGACTTGAATTTTTATTTTTTTTTTAAGATGGAGTCTTGCTCTGTTGTCCAGGCAGGAGTGCAGTGGTGTGATCTCGGCTCACTACAACCTCTGCCTCCCCAGCTCACGTGATTCTCTTGCCTCAGCCTTCTGAGTAGCTGGGAGTATAGGTGCACAAATTTTCAATTACCTTTCTCCTTTCTGAGTAGCTGGGACTACAGGCTCATGCCACCACGCCCAGGTGATTTTTTTGTATTTTTAGTAGAGACTCGATTTTGCCGTGTTGGCCAGGCTGATCTTGAACTCCTAACCTCAGGTGATCCACCCGCCTCGGCCTCCTGAAGTGTTGGGATTACAGGTGTGAGCCACCATACCCGGCCAAAATCCCATTTTTAAATTAAAAACTTTATGAATGTATATACTTCATATGTGCAAATAAAAAAATCTGAAAGAATATATACTGAACAGTTAAGGAGGTTGGTTTATATATGGCATTGTGTATGTGACATACTTCACATTTAATTTTATATTATTTCCAATGAAACATATATCTAATTTGCCATATAAAACAAACAAACAAAGCCTTGTTTCCAAACTTGTAGGGCAAAAAATCTTTTTGTTTGCAGGAAAAATGATTTTGAATATATTTCCATTCCTGGTTGTAATGTATCACTGAACATATTTACTTTCTTTGCTATTATTTATATATTATTAATAATTTTTAAGCTATATAAATGTAGAAACATGGCTTTTGGTTAAGGGGGATAGTTTACACTTCGATAACTTACTGTATGGAGATTTAAATTCCGCAAAGTATTTTTCAGTTTATTGTAATTTTTCCCCATGGGAATCTCTGTCTTTAGCCATGGAGGTAGTCTTAACCTAGGGAAAGCCAAACATAACTATCTATTAACAAATATGCTGCCAAACAATTACACAGCTTAGAAGTTAATTTCCTCTATTACGATTCCTAGTTAATAATTTTTTCCATAATCTTAGAATAACTCTTACAATTTCTGTCATAGGAGTAAGAACACAGACTCAAATTTAGCCTTGCTCAAACTACTTTAGGAAACACCAATAATGGAGTCTAACAAGGCACCAGGCTCATGTCTACCTTTTTTGCAAAGGCAGAGTTACACTATTCTAATAAAAGAATGAGTAAGTTTTAAAATATCTCATCCCTCACAAATGATACTGCCAAAAAGTACTGTATTTGTTTAGAGTAAGGAACGATCACAACTATGCACTGTCTACTCTACATTCTAGATTTTACGGTGGTTACTCAATGGAAAAAAGACCTAAAATTTGGAGTGGAGACTGTATCTCCTTGGTCTTCCATGACTCTATCTACTTGTGATATAGAAGTAGCTGGATTAAGTTATCTCTCAACACAAGGTACCCTCTACAAAAATTCCACCATTCTTGTAAATTAAAGCAAGGTATCCACAGGTGATATGTAAATTGACTAGGAGAAGCACAAGTTAGATCATAAACACCTAGTAATCCAGCTCCAACAGACTAGTAGCAAGGCAATAATCTTTAAAGAAGTTAGATGCTGGGTAGAAAATGAGATGACAGTGTAAGATGGTAAGGGTGCAGAGAAAAGAGAAAGATTCTAACAATTTCATCTACTTACCTGTTCTATCTAGTTCTGTTATCACATCTTTCTAATGACTTTTAGCTAAATTTAACAAGTCTGATATTAAAAATAGATTCTAGGCCGGGTGCGGTGGCTCACGCCTGTAATCCCAGCACTTTGGGAGGCCGAGGCGGGTGGATCACGAGGTCAAGAGATCGAGACCATCCTGGTCAACATGGTGAAACCCCGTCTCTACTAAAAATGCAAAAAATCAGCTGGGCATGGTGGCGCGTGCCTGTAATCCCAGCTACTCAGGAGGCTGAGGCAGGAGAATTGCCTGAACCCAGGAGGCGGAGGTTGCGGTGAGCCGAGATCGCGCCATTGCACTCCAGCCTGGGTAACAAGAG